ATTACTGCCTTCGGGGCTACTATAACCGAGAACCGACTGTTTTCATATTGAGAGAGAAGCATGATTCGTTAATTGATTTGCAAGCAGTACAATCAGCTTTAAGGTACATTGTAAGAGATAATCCCTTATTCCAAACTAGCTTCCAGCGCATCGTCATCCACAAGAACAACGCCTTCGTCTTTCAGAATAAGTTCTTTAGCTCTGTCATAATCAAAAACACCATTCTCATCTGTCAGCTCGTCCTTTCGATGGAGCAATACTCCGAAGTACTCGCTAGGGAGCTGCATTGTGAAGTCGACCTCTAGTGAAAACACTTTCAAGGGCGGAATTCTGAATTGATACCACGTGTTGATGTCCTGTCCCGGAGCAAGAAAGGGACCATGAACTTTCCTAGCGTACCACGAAAGGATGACAGTATGGTCCTTGGCACTTTGCGCGTCAATAATCACAATGACCTCGCTGTTAATCCTGTTATCTTTCTCCGTTTGTTCGTGAGCCCAGGCCCCGCACTCCTCAACAGAAGCACCAATGAAGTCAGTGTCAAAGTCATCGTCCGGCGCCAGTTGTTGGACAAACTTGTGGTCCTGGGCGTCGAGCTTTGTGGACTGGACTAGGAAATAAGGTAGATAGGTATTCCCAGGTGGTGCAAGTTCTTTCTGCCCATCGTCTTGTAAAACTTGATGAACAAACTAGCCTCATGTGTTCTCCGTTAGTATACGTCTAGCTGGTTATGGGCTCAGAAAGAAAGCTGCTTACGGGCTTAGCCTCCTCGGCTGTGCAAAACAGTAGTTTGTAAGACATTTGGAAAGTTCTTTTCAACACGACAAGAATGATTGTTGATATTGAGATAGTAGCTTCTTCAGATGGTAGTGGGTGATGTTTTTGGATGTGTGAGTGAGGGAAGAGATTGGGAAAGGCTTGACAGCAGAATCGCAACGAATAATATTGTTTGAGGCTGCTGGTATGGGTGACGTCATAGCACAAAGTATAATGTATATTATGCGCCGTGTTAATACATAAGCGTCGTTTCAAGAGTTCCCACATTAACTGTGAATATGTCTGTTGGTTCTTGAGTTTGTTGCAGCTTAGATCGCCCCCACCACTAACGCACCTCGAATTTCCTAACAGCACGATTAAATTGCAACCCAACAACTTCGCCGTAGAGCCAACAACGGCGATCGTAACATGCGCTTTAACGTCATAACCGAGGTATAGGTATATAGTAACACCTAGTTATGCGATAGTCTCGAATCCTTCTATGGGGTTATAGTGTGTACCTTTACTAGATCAGTCTCTTTGTTGGCTGACAGCCTCATAGCCTCGATAGCCCCCTGGTGACAACAATGTCGATGATTTCGTCATCATGGAGACAGACCCAGAAAAGCAGCCTCATTTATCTACAAGTATGCCTATGCGGCCCTCGAATCCCCAAGGAGACCAACAACACCAACAAAACCTGACTTGTTGCAATCAATCTAGCCTCGGGATCCTTTGCGTAGAAACACCATTAAGATAAAAATATCTACTAGCGTTATTCACTATGAAGCTTCTTGTGGGATGAAATAATACAGTCTTCTCGAACTTGAGAACTCGCCACCCATAACGGATCTTATAGCAACAATATGACGCCGAGCCGGGTGTTTTTGATCATCATTTGAATTTAGATGGATGTACATGGCACGAATTTCAGACAAGTACCAAAATAGAAACAGATGCCGTTGGGTCACGGTCTTGATCGTTTGGTAAATGATAGCATCTTCAGGCCGCAAATGTAGTCATGGCCTCGAGAGCCTTAGAATACAAATAGTCCTTCTTGACCACAATCGATGAGTACTGTTTCCAGTCTGTATCAATGCTTGACCATCTTCTCCGCAGCATCTTCTTTCGTCTTCGAGTCGCTGCTCTGAGTTATCTTCTACAATAAGGCACTGTTGCAAACCAACGAGCTTTGATAATATGCCTACTTCCCGAGTTTCGATCATTGGCATCGCCCTCTTTATCCTCTGGACGAAAGTCAACGCAGCTCCTGCGGTGGCAATTAGTCCAGGAGTCAAGGAGCCAGCTCTGATTCCGGTTGGAAGAGCCGCTGAGTTCGATCTGGATCGCAAAGATCAACTTTCAACCCAAGAAGACGAGGGTCAATACAATGATAGCGACAAGTCGGCAATATGGCAACGCGACGCCAATCTTGATAAAAGAACTAAAGGCGATATAAACGACCCAATCCCAGTCACTTTGAATGTTGCCAACTGGCAAGATATAGCCGAGGAAAATTGCTTCATAATGCTTTGTCGATATAACGGTCAACTCAAATGGTCAGTCCTCTTGATGGTTTCCCAAAATCTTTACTCGGAATTAGACAGAGTGCTAACGCAAGATGGAACGAAAGGCAAAGAGGTCCCCAAGGCATAGCAAGTAGACACAGAACAGAATCCGGAGCAGGTTTAAATCCCTTCTACCCCGCCAACCTCGGCAGTCGTCACACATCCCAGATTTCTCAAGCAACAACGAGCCCCGAGGAGTTCCCATGGGCCAGTATGAACCAGGGCGGCGTAGGGGCGCATCTCATGCCTGCAACAAAGGCACAGCAAGATTGTAAGTCTTTAGAATTCTAGCCAAATATTTTCAAAGCGCCTGGACTAAAATTGAAGAAGACCAAGGAGGAGCGATTAATGCTGCATACAACACGGCAAATCCGCCTGTAGCTCCAATGAATTGGTTCACAATCAGATTTAACAATTAGTAGGTTGCAATCATCTCAAAACTTTAAAAAGACAGACTACTAAGATCTGTGACCAGCGATGCGTCTCGCATTTATTGTCCAGCCTTGTTTAGAACCCCACCCGACTTCAGTGTTTGTGGGAAAAAGAAGACTACGGAGTACGGAGTATCGATAGACCCTGAGGATTATGATTACATCAAGGATCTAGGCGTGAAACCATATATCTTCCATCATCCTAGCTAGATATCCCGAGTTTCGCGCCCCCCGCGAGTTGTTTTGGGTGAAGAGGGGTCTTCAGAAAGGGAGTTGAACTAAACCGGGTCACATCCTTTTTTGAATCAAGAATGGTTCCCATCTCAGTTTTCTCTCAATTTCTCACATTCATTTCTTCTATATACACAAGAAAGCCAGGATATATATTTCAATAAACACATTCGTTTCACTCGTTCTTGCATAATAACAGAAGCATTAGTTGTCCTTATCTTACACGACTGCAGCCATAATTTAATCAGTATAAGACGCAAAGTGATGACTGTTGAGACGATCATGCACAGCACTAGCGTACAGGTCCAGCAGCCGATGAACATAGATACTTGAACTGTGTGAAAGCCTCCCATGACGAATTTTGTAAGTAAACGTCTAATTTGGGGGCAGACACATGTAGAATAGAATTTGCCGAGGTGGCGATAGGGCTATTCTTTGCAGGAAGCGTATCAGGGCTCGGGCTCCGAAAGCCTGCCTGCCCGACGTTGCTTTATTGAGGGACATTACCTTCATTCCTGATAAGCAGACGATCCCATGGTCCGTACAATCCTAGCAGGCTACCTTTTGGGTAATGGATGAAAAGCTCTCAAAGCACTACACGCGCTGAAAGTGCGACAAAGGTTACAGGGGCCACAATCACCCCTTTTTATCGCAAGCGGGGTGGCTCAACGCAAAGAAAATAGGACAAAAAATACTGGGTACCTATCCAAGCGATACGAATAGATGTGGTTTGGTTGCATTCATCGTGTCTTGCTTGGGTCGTGATCTCAGAGTTCTGAAGTAATGAAATTCTGATCATTCATACAGCGCCAAGCTTAATTGGTTCTCTTCTCTGTTCTTCAAGAAAGTCATTATCACCCTCTTATGCAGTAAAGCCCTTGTAATGTCACTACCTGACCTAAGTTATCTTACGCCGGCTCAACAGGAGGCCTTTCTGAGCAGTCCTGCCCTGCCGCCACCAAATGGTATCACAATCCACCTCCCTGATAATAATGTATGCTCAATTACTGTTACTGCCGTTGTGATAACACTCTCATTAATCTTTGCATTCGTACGTCTGTACGTATCACTGGCCATTTCTAAGACGTTCTTGGTCATAGATGGTTAGTGGCTATGGCTTACACTGACACCTAAACGTAGCAACACCGTTATAATAGATAGATAGTAACCGATACTCGTTTTGATGCTAGCATTCATGATCCTGTCATTTGTAAGAAGAGGCGAAAAATATCAACATCTTTAGAAGTAAAAGTGAGCATTGGCTTACCTCTTCAGGGTCTATATATGTATGCATTGCATGTCACGGCATTGTTCTGGACTCAATTCACTAACTTGGATACTTGCAAATACACTAATGGGATGTCACACACGAGGATTTTTTCTATGAATTGAAGGTAAAACCAGGGATCAGACGAAATTTTCAAGAAACTCCGGGCTGATTCATTAAAGGCCTTCTTGATCGAGAAAAATTTATATGGCTTCTCCCATGTATTCAAGTTTTCATTTATCCTACCTAGAGTGGACACGAATATTCAACCCACTGCGGGCCAGGAATGTGTTCTTTTGGTCTTCAATAGCCATTCTCGCTGTCAATGCTCTCTTCTACATCCCAGTAGCTATAAATCTCGATGTCGCCTGCCGTCTCTGGACGAGACTTATAATCCGTTCATCGAGAGGAAGTTCTACGATCCCAAGAGGCAGTTTCTTGCCACGTTTGTGGTTAATTTCGTTGTTGATGTGGCAATTTTCCTCCTCCCGCAAAATGTCATGTGGAATCTTCGAATGCCGGTAAAGAAGAAAGCTGGTATCGCTGCTGTCTTTGTTGTTGGGCTTATGTCAGTAGACTCTTACTATAGGAGGTTCCATTTTATCAGCTCCGTCCAAGGGTGGAATCACGTGGCTCTCCCATCGAGCTAGTACATGTGGTGGATCTCCTTTATTATGAATAAAATCAAACATAATTACCCCAATTCGTTGGCGTAGAAAAAGATAAAAAATTCAAAGATTAATTAAGTGGACGAACGGGGATTTGAACCCCGGACCCTTCGCAAGCATCGATTTATACAGCCTGGCGTTATCAACCAGGCCATCAGTGCAAAGCGAATATCATACCCCTAGACCATTCGCCCAGTGTTATAAGAGTCGGAAATAATAGTGATTATAACCAATCACTCGATTTTTGACCTGATAACAAAGAAGGAAACAAGTATTTATCACAATTTACCCTGCTTCTTTACTTTCGCGGGTTTATAATTACAGTCAGAAGCTGTAACTAAGTGCCTTGCTTATACTTATCCTGGTCGCTTACGATAACACCTGATATTTATGTATACATGCTATTAATACCACATACCAAGGTATAATGGATTCTCCTGGTGACTAAGACCTAATGTTCGAATTTGATGTATATACACGACCTCTTTTTTTCCCCCATTGTATTAACTGTTAGTTGGACATCTATTGCTTCACCAACAGCAATCAAGAAGTAAATGAACACGAGCTTCTCCACAAGACCTTAATTAAAGGTATATCACAAAGATGATGCAAGATGCGAGACGGGGCTTAGGGATTACTGAGCGAACATTTCATTTGGGCTTTGTGAACAGGAAGAGTTGCACGTTGAAGGTAAAGGGCTGCATAGAGAGTATCAACCCAAAAAGACTCTTTTGTAACGAAACTTCTAGACATTGTATTTTTTTCCTCTTTCAATTTTAACTTATTATCCTCTACTTTTGTTTTCTCGGTTTTTTCTCTCTTTTAAATTATTATTTGCAAATTAAGCTCAAGCGGGCCGCGGGCGGC